CTTACATGTGTATGTACATATGTAAATATGTAGATACTCTTACTGAAGTATTTAATCATTCAGTTTTTATTTTGCATCGCACTAACGCTATTACTCACACACTCACACGCGCACTTAATCTGAATGTAAATTTTTCCATACACATTTTTTGCTGTGAATAAAGGTAAAATTTGACCTAAAAAATTATCACAATGTTGTTTTGCACAACAGAAAAAAATAAAAAAATTAAACAAATATACAACTACGAAAAACAGAGCGAAAAAGCTCAATAGATAAGCATGGCTGTTGGTAAATTCTCTGTATTTTAACCATTTTTCTTTTTTTTTATCAAGTTAACTGAAATATGTACGTGGAAAACGCAACAGGCGCACATTGATGATACTACTACATATATATGTATGTAGAAGGTAGAAATGTATTCATGTGTATAAATATATACATATGTAAGTATGTACAAATTTAAAACCGTAACAAGTGCGATAATAACAACAAAAAGTACAGTTATAACCAAAAGCTTGTTTAAAAAAAAATATCTATTATCTGACAATAAAGCATTAAAAGTGCGTAAATAGGCGAGAGCAGACAGAAAATTGCGATAAAAGATTTTGTTTTAGATAATTTTGATACATGCGAAGACAATTGGTTTTTGTTTTTGATATGATATTGCTTCAAATATTTTACGATATTTTAAAACACATTTTTTTTGTATATTTTCTACGAAAAACGATTGCTTATCTTAAACAGCGCATTATCTTTTTACGTACATACATATTTATGTATGCGGCAGATATAATAGACTCGCCTTACTTTGAAAATTTTGTTTATAAAAGCCTGGGTAGTTATACAAAAAACACCATATAAATCCACTTTTAAAATTTTGTATAAAAATTATAAAAATTCGACAAATTTTCACCAAATTTTCACACTTTTTATTCAAAAGTTTGAGAAAAAAAATTTTTCAAAAATTAACGGTATTTTCTAGCCACTTAAAATTTACAGTTTATTATACTAAAATTGAATGGGCTACAAAACTGCATACCAACAATTTTTCTAAAAATTCTGAATAAAAAATTATGAAAATTTGATGAAAAATTGTCGAATTTTTATGATTTTTGTTCAAAGTTTCAAAAGCGGATTTATATGATGTTTGTCGTTGTTAACTACCTGGGCTTTTATAAAAAATATTAAACATAAAATAAACTAAAGAGATATAGCCCAAACTCTTCAAAGTACGACGAATCTATTATTTCTGCCGCCAGTGTATATATTCGCTTAACCATTTATTGTTTAGCTTAAACAAAATAAAATTTGCGATTTTTTTCTTGCGCTAAAAAGTAAACAAGTAATTAAGCAAAAATTAGCAGACAAAGAATTTCCACATTTTAGTCAAATAAGTTTATATGTATACATACATACATACATGCATTCAAAAATGTTGCAAAAATATTAAAAAAAAATATATAAATTTTTCGGGGAATTATTAGCTGATAAGAGAGCGTTGAGCAAAGATGAAGTCATCGTGTGCTTAATAAGCTGCATGGACTTCAAATAATATACTATGCCCAAAATCACGACTGAATTGTTCACAGCCGCTAGCGTCTCTCTCCCCTCCGATATCGCTCTACTCAACGCTTAAATAGCGATCTAAATTTTGTGAAACGAGTAACAAGCCATGATAAAAAAGGGAAGGCGGCAAGTGCTGGAAAACATTTTTCTACAATAGCATTAACCCTTGATATACTCAACTGTTTCGGCGGTTTCTTATTGATCATTTACTTTTTGTTGCCTGCTAGCAGAGCTTGAAGATTTTGGTAGATCCATATTATCTCTGGTGGATTCTTTTTCTTAGCGTAACTGTTTTGGAAAATCATTTCTCATTTCATCATACGGTTGCTATTGTCGTGATGAATGGCGTTTCTTAATTTCGTTATTTACCGGATCATCCCTTTGCTTCTTTCGTTGCTCATTTAGCTGATCGAGCGATATTCAGCATTCTACTTAGTTTGCTTATTTGCATTACTTGACTCTTTAAGTTCTCTCCTACTTTGTTTGATGGCGCCATATTGTCTCTCACTTGTTGATCATCATGTTTTTGCTCCGACCGTTGATGCTTGAATGGTATTTTTTGGCTTATCATGTATTATTTCTAAGATTATATATTCAAACGATTGTTCATGCCTCGATGGCCCTCAAAGTGCTAAATCACTTTTGTTCTTTTTATTGCAACACAATTTCTGTTGTTGCTACACTTTTCTCATCGTGCGACTTTTAATTTTTCGCCTGGCTCTATTTGCCGTGATAGTATTTCCTAACTCCGATTGATCCAGTGTTGCGCTATTCCTTCGTACCGCATCCTACTGTATTCTCTCTCAGATACTTTTTTCCAAGAAACTAATTTTCCTTAGAAGCTTGTAGCCTTCCCAGCTCTGGTTTTTGTCTCTGCCGCAATGTGCTTCTAGAGCACGTCTCTCTTTCAAGTCCTGCAACTTTTCCACTTTGGTCATTTTGTTGTTTACGCTGTTTGGCTATGCGCGATAATATTGTTTCCGAAAGTTGTATAGGTCGTTGTTCTTGAAGCTCGCTTTATTCTCCAGTTCTGTGATAACCGTTCTTTTAGTTCGCCACTTTTTAATCGTCGACTATTACTAAATCTGTNTCTGAGCCGTACGGATGACATCGCCTTTCGTTGAGGCTCTTCCATTTGTTCCATATATGGCAAAGTTTTCAGCTCTGTTTCAGACTTTGGATTAGGGTTGGGTTGGGTTGTTGCTGATCTGCTTATTATGTTGGCTGATTTCATTTTCATTTTGCTTGGACACATTTTCCTTTATTTTCCGAGGTAGCCGAGGCTGCCTTTACAAAGACGTGAAGCACCTTGAGTGTAAACTTCATCTGTTCCAGTACCGGAAGTACTCTCCCAAGGCTCAAGTGATTCGCTCTCCTTCTGGTGCTCGTCTCTTGCTCCTCTAGTTCGTCCATTATAATCTCTTGAGTTGATATAATTTTCAGACATAACAGATCTGAAATACCTACGACCCGCTAAGAAACCAGATCTATGTTGGGAATGAGCAATGCAAATGTCTACAAACTCACGGCTGTCTTCTGCAGAAGACACTACCTTTACGCAGGTTCTGCCGAAACTGTAACGACACGAGCGCCAAGAAGGCTGTTGAACACTTTTTCTGCGAGCGATCACCACAATACACACCTGCAGAATTTTTGCTTAGTTTTTTTTTTTATAAAAAAAAAAAAATATGTATATATATATATTAAAAAATTTTGATTTTAAAATATTTTTTTACAATTTTAAGCTTATTTGATCTGATTTTTTAGAAATACTTTTGTTTTCGAAAAAACTTGAACTATTTTCGAATGGATTTTTTTTTTTTTATATCGTAACTTAACTTAGATTTGCGTTTATATACTGCATTTTCTTCTCGATAAAACTTGAAGAATTGTGAAAGTAAAAAAAAAAACAATGGAAAAAGTAAAAAAAAGTCGAAAGTAAAAATATATACATTTTGATATAAAATTTGAAAGCAAAAAAGTGTTTTTTAACATTTTCCCGGCAAAAGAACAGGAAAAGAAAAAATGCTTAACGTTAATAACTAAATTTTATTTTTTTATAAATTTTTAAAACAATTTAATGTTGAACGAATTTCAGCGATATTTATTAATATCATTTCCCTATTGAAGAAATATTTATGCCCATAATTTTTTTCAACTTTGAACAACAATAAGTTTAAATCTGCTTTCTATTAAAAATTTAATTTTGATTTCATCTCACTTGGTAAAATTTGCTTGCTGATTAAGAAACATTAAAAATGTTTGGTGGTGGTAAGTTTCTAGCAAAAAAAGCTAATTAATGACTATTCTTGTAATGTAATGACACGATTGTTTTTTAATGCCCATCTTATTTATTAAAATTTTTGGCTAGTGGAAATCCAAAAGTAGAAACTCGAGATAAGTAAGATTCAAGAATACACAATTTTTTAAATAAAAAAAAATTAAAAAAAATTTCATATTCACTTTTCTTTATACACATACACATACAACCTTAAAATCACAACAAACAACAACAAAAAATTATGTTTTGCTGCAAATTAAAGCCAATAAAATTTCGATATTTCTAAGAAAATTTTTTTCTTATGAAACAACAACAAAAAATTCAACTGAATTGAGAAATAAAAATAACACACACAACAACAACAATATACATAGACCAAGTAATGTCACTTTGCAAAAAAAAAAAATAAAAATTATTCAGAAAACGGAAATTATAGTCATGCCCAAAATTAGCTTACAAATCGCGCAAATTTTGTTAACGTTTATTTACACAAAATAAAGCCAATTAAATATTTAATATTTTGAAATACAACAAAAGCAGCAAATTATTATTTCTTTTGAATTTTTTAAACACAAAGCTATTTATAATATGTATGTTTTTATTAAATATTTAGGTTTGCAATTCACAAAAATATGAATGTTTTACCTAAATTTCACTTAATAAATCCAAGGATGGCGAACAAATGCAATTGTTGTTGTTGTTTTTCAGCAGCTACTGCGTTTGGTGACAGTGGTTACGGTTTTTCCCCAAATTTATTGTTGTTGTTGTTGCAGTAATTTAAATTGTCTAAGTTTGACGTTTAATTTTGTTTGTGCAAAAATCTATTGTTGTTGCTTTTTGTGTTAATTACAAAAGGGTAGGCTGACGCTTCGCATTTTCTCACGCACACAAACACATTGACGAAGACACAAACATATTTTATTTGCAGAACTGCACTATGTGTACTATCTCTTTATCAGTTGCTCAAAATTAGTTTTTTTTCTAAATTTTTTTCAAAATTTTTCAAAAGTTTTCCAAATTTTTCGAAGTTTTTTTTTGAGATCTGCCAATTTCTATAGCTTTTTGGCTCTTTGAAATCCCCTTTTCTTATATGTATTTTATTTACTTTTTCCAATACTAATTAATTTATTTTTGGTAAAATTTTTCAACTTACTTTTTGGAATTACGTTTCGTTGTTTGTTTCGAAAACATGGGAATTTTGTCAACAATCAGTTGCATCGCTCGAAAAACACACACATTAACACTGACTTTTTGTTGCGGCCGATTGCACTCTAACCGCACACAAAAGCGTTTGCTATACTATGCTCTGGCTGGGTTTTAGTGTTGTTTTTGCTTATGAATTTTATTTTTATTTTTTGTTATTGTTTTTTATTTGTAGTTTTAGCATAAGCTGTTTTTTGCAGAAATTTTCAATACAATTTTATTTTTAAAAATTTTTTCGAAATTTTCTTTAAATTTTTTTTTCGAAATTATATGTTCCAAAGTTTTTGTTTTGAAAGTTTTTTAGAAAACAGTTTTTCAAAAATTTTTATTTTCGATTTAATTTTTTTTTGCAAAAAATGTCTGCTGCTCTTGCTTTACAGTGTATCTCTATCGACAATTCTGCTGTTGGTTATTAGGAATATTTGTTGTTGCAATTAATTTAATTACTTAGGTTTGTTTTTTCTTTAATTTTCAATAATACTGTTGTTGTTAAGTGGAGAAAATTCTTTAAAAATATTTTTTTTTTCTGATGAGGAACTTTTTGCTTCAGCAGTTTATGTAGGTGTATATATATATTTTTAGTTTTGCACTATTTTGCAAAATAAATGTTTTAGTTATGCTTGTTGTTGTTGTTGTTGTTGCTGCTGTTTACATTTTATAACTTATCGGCTGCTGTTGTTGCTTTTGCTCTGCTCACTCGCTCAATTCGGCTTGCACGTGTTCTTTTGTTGCTTGCAACTTATCGCTCACAATTTTCGCGTGTATGCGTACGCATGTATATGTGTGTGTGTGTTGGTTAGGCTGTGTGTGGCCGCTTGGCGTTACTTGTTGTTGTTGTTTATGCGTGCGTGCTTGCTGGCTTGTTACCGCTAGTTGAGGTATGCTTGTGCAGCTAGCAGAAATGCATTTAACGCAGCATCACACGCTTTTCGGGTTTGGCGCTTAGTAGCGTTTGAGTTTTTTGACACTTTTAATTGTTTTTGCGCTAACTTTTTTTTTAAATAACTATTTGTTTAGTTGGTTTTAATTGTTTGAGTCACAGTTTTTTTGAATTTTCAACTTGCTGCTTTGGCTCAGAATTTCAGTGCCTTAAAATTTTTTCCCACAAATGTTTGGAAATTTTTTTTTTTTAATTTATTGTTTAGCGCTGTTGGTTTATTTCCCCGGCAATTTTTGGTTTTGCGTATATTTTAAATTTTTACTAAACTTATTTTTTTGCTGTTCTTTTAGCTTTAAAATGGTTTTAATTTTGTACAGCTGTTGCTTTTCAGTTTTCAAAATCCCTCTTAACACACTTTCACTTGCCCAGTAATTATCACGCGATAGCTGTGGTCTATGTATGTACATATGTATGGAAATTTCTTATCAGTTGCGCTTTATTTATAATTTTTTTATTTTTTTTTTCACTCACTTTTTTGCTTTTGTGAATTTTCCTAAATTTGTGTTTTGCAAAAATATTTTTGGTTAAGGTAGCAAACCTTTTCTTTTAAATACTTCCCAAAATTCTCTTTTCTCTTTTATGTGTGCAAGATTTTGTGCGTCACTTTTCTTTTTTGTTTTTATTGTTGTATGTTTTTTTTTAGTTTTGCCTTTTCTTTTGCAACACCAGCACTCTTTTTATTGCATTGCTCCAAATTTTGCAACTGGCTTTTTGCTGCTATTTGTATCTAAGATTTGTTGCCTTTCGCCAAACAAAAATTTCACCGCTGACACTTGATAGACAAACAACAGTCCGCCAGTGTTATTTTTGCTTTTTGTTGTTGTTGTTGTTGTTGTTTTTTTTGCGCAATCCACTTCACACACCAACCGGTTGGCTTTAAAATGTTTAATAATTTTTTCTCGGCTGCAGCAAATGTTTTTACTTGCAGTTAATAACTTTCACATTTTATTTTTTAAATTTTTTTGTGAATGGTCTGTTGTATTTCACTGCACAGCGTTTTTTCTTAATTTTCTTAAGTTTCAGAATTTTTTCTTACATCAAGTTTTCTCTTATCACTCGCTGCACTTAGTGCTTATTAGCTACTGTTATCTGCTTAGTATCTCTCAAAAATTTTCATTCATAACTGTCACACAACTTCAATTAATTCAGTAATTAATTATTTAATTTGTTTTTATTTTTTGCATTTTTTTTATTATCAATGCCTTAATTTGCTTTTTATCAGTCGAACGCCGTTAATCCAATGCGCCAGCGTTGACAGTGAATTTTAGCTGTTCTCTTTTTGTAATTAATTATTTTTTTTTTTAATAAAATCTTTTAATTTGCTTCACTTAATTCTTTCTCTTCGTACGCGTCATCCACTAATTATCGGATTGTTGAATGCTGCAAATTTTTTTTTTGCTCGGTGAAGAATCTTGAATATGTTTTTCTTGTTATATTTTTGTTATTGCCGCGTCGCGCGTACGTTCAGGAAAACATGACGACATTTGACAGCAGCCAGAAAGGAACTAAACTTCAATTTGCGGCCGAACTGCCAGCGACAGCACAAAACTCGAAACTGAAAACTGCTTTAGCTAAATGGTTCACTTGGACGTAGTATTGAATGCATGCATGCCATGCCGCCTGCCTGTCCGCCTTGCCGCTCTGCCCAGCCGCGCTCGTTCAATCGCTCGTTCGTTCATTCGTTTTGGCTGCTCGTTGCCTGCCGCATCGGCTGCTGACTGCCTCCACCATTGTATGTACATACATATTTGTGGATACAGGTCTCTAGACTCGAACGTTTGTGTCTCAGTGGTGTGGTTGGTGGGGTGCTGCGTTCGTTTTCTCGCCTCATCTTGAATGTACTCTGCCCCATCTTGAATGTACTCTGCCCCAGCGCCCATGCTAGGTATGAATGTACGAGTATGCGCGCATACGTACATTGATTTTAACGCTGCGCAGCAGAGCGCCTGCTCCCTCATCTCACCTCTGCGCGCGCGGTGAGCGCTCAAACCGATAGAGAGTTGTTCAAGAAAAAAAAAGACATAACAAAAAAAATATGCGCGAGAGCATGTCCCTTGTTTCGTTGCTGTGCATTCGATTTGTACGTTATTCGTACGACGACTTTGCTTGGTCGTTGTGTATCTCATAGATATATCGAACGCGCACACATACATTTGTGTGTATAATCGCGCGCACGAATATATGTATATAGTTATTTTACCTTTCCATTACCCACACACACACACACACACACAAACACGAGCGCGCCATTGCGCTCTCCCTCGCAAGCAGTTTAGAGAAATTTCGTTCGTGCGGCTTTATAAAAATGTGCGCGCGCGCGCGTGTGTGTGTGTGTATGTGTATGAGTGCGCGCACATTTGTGTTAACGAGCGCAAAGCAACCGAGCGACCGCAAAGCAAAACCAGCTTGCGCGTGTATTCGCCTGAGTATTTTACACACATATGCAACGTTCGTGCGTTTGTGTATATTTCTCATATCAACGTTGTTCGTTGGCCCTGTGACGGTGACTTTTACGAGCGCTGTAGCGTTGGCAATGGCGGTGGTGGCAGCGCGCGCGCGGTTGTACGCATAACATTTAGCTACAATTCGAAGTAGTGAATATACTTGTACGTACGTACGTATGTACATGTGTGTAAGTAAGTGCGCGCTGTTTGACGCGCTGCATTGCGCTCTGCTCGACGCGCTGTCGCGCATATCAACTCTGCGGCGGCACAGTGAACCTGTGTTTGACACCGCCCACCCTCCGTTTGCTGCTCGAAACGCGGTCGCGCGCGTTGGTTTTACGCGCACTCAATGCCCTACCCTCTCTCCCTCCCCACCAAACACTGCTCGTTTCATTACGCGACCGCGCTGTTTTGCTGTTTATCATTTTTTTTCGCCTGCTTACACGCTTCGCGCTATGTGGTAGTGCTGTGATTTTTCTATATTTCATACATATTTTGGTTTGCTGTTGTCAGCGCGCGCGAGCTCATTCTCTCACACCCTTTGCGCCACCGCCGCCGCTATCGCTACCATCACTACCTCCTTAAGCAGCAGTCGGCCGGCTGCGCGCTCACTTCGCTATAGATATTTTTTGTGTCACAGTAGCATTTTGTTGCTGCGCTGCTGCTGCTGCGCTGCTGCTCATATCTTGGCTAATGTTGCCTATGCTGCTCCTTCCTGCTTGTCTCAGCTTCTGCCGCTTATGTTGATTTATTTTGGAAACGTTTTGTGTTGGCTAAATTTTTTTTTGGTTTTACTTTACTTTTTTTCTCTGCTACCTTTTATGCTCTGCTTCTTTGCCTTGTTGGCCATCGGCGCGCTGCTTCGCTAGTTAGAGGGACGCGCGCTGAGCCAGCGCGCTCAGTCATCAAACCTCCAGCGCTGCCACCCACTGCTCCCCTTTCGTCTGCTCATATTCACAGAAAATTTCTTATCGCCTTTTGGTTGCATGCGTTTTTTTTTGTCGCTTATCCGCCTCGGTGTTACAAACGTGTGCGCTCCCACACACATACACATACACATACACACACTTTCGCATACGTAAATGTAGCTATGCATGTAAATTTACTCAGCGCCCTTTTCAGTTGTCACCGCTCCTGTCGGCAGCGCTGGCCTTCCTGTCGCTCCTACTCTCGTTTCTCTCTCACCCCAGCCGCGTCTCTTATTTCCCTTTGCCCTTATCCATTTTTTCTCCCTTCACCCCTCTCATGCGCCGCCACCTATTGCTTCCATTTCTGTTTAATGTAATAATTACACATGCATATGTCAATTTGTTTGGGTTTTATTTTTGACACATTAAATGGCTCTCACACACGTTTCCGTCGTACTCCGTAGCAATTCTTCCAGTTGGGCTTCTTTGCCTCTACCTACACTCTCTTTTTAGTTTTATTTGTAATTTTATTTTTCTTCTTTTGTGCCTTTTTTCTCTGCTCTGCTGAAATTCTTTGGCTGTAATGCTTACTATTTTTGGCATTTATGTATGCGCGCCCCGCGCCCCACGCCCCGCGCCCTTGCCCATCATTCCGTCATCAATTCGCTGGTTATAGTTCTCGTCAGCATTTTTGTGGCACATTGTTGCCACTTTTGTTTTGTGTTTTTTTTTTTTGAGTATTTTTGTTAGCCTGTGTTGTAAGTTGTTGTTGGCTTTGTTGGTTTATACTTTTGGTTTAATGGCGCTCATACTTTGTTACAATAAATACACAAGGCGGTATGCGCTCATGAATGTACATATATGTATGTNCTTTGTTACAATAAATAC